GTGCGTGCGCGTGTGTGTGTGTGCAACAATGTGTAAATCCTGATGTGTGTCTAATCAGATCACAGCGTAACCACGACTCACAGCGGGAACATTAGCAGGCTTGACTTAATGCCAGCCACTGCGCTCCCAGGTGGAAACATCAGCGCTCCTTCCTCCTCCTCCTCTTCCTCCTCCTGGGTGAGCTTTAATCAACCCTGAAATGATCCTGTTGGGTTGGTGGGCGGCGAGCGCGGCACCGAGGCATGTTTGGGCCGGAAGGCAGGACCTGCTGCCCGCCAGGCTGACATCACGTTCCCGAACTCTTCCTCCTGTCAACTGTGTGCAGCTTCAGCCTGCAGCTGTTTGCATATACATGTTAGAAACTGCTAAAGAAATATAAAGTGCGTGGGCGAGTGGAACAAAATGCTGGCAGGGAGAATTTGAGCTGAACTCTTAGAGGAAGAGGACATTAAACGGAAAAACATCAAAACTCAACTAATTACAGAGTGGAAGAGAGAGAGGGAACATTACTGCAGAACAAACTGAGATTGTTCCTGCTCATTATCTACAAACTGTCACTTTACCTTACCAGTTACATTTTAGTCCGCTGGCTCTAAACCAGCAGTTAGTTGTTAGAGTTCATTAGACGAAAAGGAAGATCATGTAAAACACACACAGTAAGAAACAAATAAACTCATTGCTGCCTCAACCCTCCATCCTCTGATAGTGTCTGACTTCTCTTTGGGAAGCTGCAGCCTCCTGGTTCGTACGTCCTCCTGGTTCGTACGTCCACAGCCGTGGAGGAAGTACGAGGATGTTAAGGATGGGGCAGCAAGGAGCATGGACGAGATGAGAAAGTGCACTGCAACAAAAGATCACCTGATCTAACATCTTGCAAGTAGACCTCCATCACATCAGACTCTCAGTCTAGTAAACCTTCACGTCTGGAGCTAAAAATGAAACACCTCCCTGCCCTCGTTGTTCTGGAAGAGGAACCCTGGAACACCTCCTCAGCAGCTACCCAAAACTTTTGGTGGTGCCATGACCAGCTGCTTGAGGCAAATGAGAGTGTAGCCACAGCCATTAACACCAGTGGGCCACGACCAGAACATCATGTTCCTCAGAGAGACTGCAATGAAGTTCCCTGTCTGAATAACAACAACATGGCTTCGACCAGAGTCAGCTGAGCAGATGATCATGCTGGAGCGCACAGTGTCCACAGCCGATGGACGAAGCCAATGAGAGGAAGCACCACCAAGTGACATCACTGATGATGTATCTTTATCTAGCTAATTAAAGACTAAAACAAAGGTAAAATACATACAGAAATAGTGTTAGTGTGTTAATATCCTCGCAGCACTCTCTGCTCTTTATACGCAAATATCTCTACATGAGGGAATTATCCGACATTGCATCACAAAAACAAACGAGTGGTTTCTCTTCGGAGCCTCTGAGGGCCGAGAGGAACTGGTTTCCTGTCAGAGACGAAGCACAAGCGGCAACAAACTACAAATCAAATTAAAGTAAGTGGCCCCAGGCGGGAGAAACTCATCCACATCAGGATCTGAAACCACTCTTCCTGGGAACATCATAAAATACAGAATGATGTAGACTCCTCCTTTATGAAGGTTCAGCAGCAGTCAGACCCGACTGCTCTATTAGTGGATTAAAGTCATTATATCAAACAAAGAGCACACATAAAGTCGGCAGATTGAAGTTGTTGCCATCATCACTCCACCAGTTTCATACACCCTAAACGGCTGTATTGTGCAGGGAGAAATCACAAACACTTCACATCATGTTGCGCTGATTCATGCCTTTTTAAATGCTGTAAGTGCCCACAGTCATTTGTAAATGTTGGCAAAAGATTAAAAATCTGAACAAAGTACAGGAGCAATAAATCAAACGCACCCTTCAAGCAGTAACACACACATTGTCCTGATGGCAGTTACAGCCGCTGGAGCTGCTGTCTGAGTGGCTGGAATAAAACTGAACATCATGAAACATCATCACATCTTATTTTGCCATTTTACTTTGGAGGTTTGTGCAAGAAACGACTTCCTGTCAGAAACCCACAGCACTGATA